TAATGTCAAGGCTACGTCGTACGAATGATATTTCAATGTGCTGAATCACAGCATATACAGCATGCATCTATGTTGTAAATACGTTTAAAACCTTACTGCAAAGTACGTCAATAACTGTTGTCTACAGCTTGGCACTGGGGAATTATGGATTCGTCGAGATCCTCGCTTGTGTGATCCAGCGCCCTTACGCTGCAGAAACCAGCAAAACTCACCCATTATGAAAGATGTGTACTTTGCACTCCAGCGCTTCTCCATGACTGAGATGTCTTGCTGAATGCGCTCATGATGCGCATCGATACCAGAGCACAAGTTCGCAGGGCAAATTTCAAGGTGATTTTGCAAAAAGTGCATTTGGAGTCACGCTCGAGCGTCAACTGCTCAATAGTCCACAATGAGCTTGTTCGTGGTGTCTTTGGAGTTCTCTGCCTTTGTTCTGCCCACAAATCCTGTACACATTGCTTCGAATGAGCGCCATGCTTCTGACACAAATGTAGTCAACTGGCATTGTGAAGCACCATCTGCCATTATCCGGCGAATATCAGGTGCAGTAGGTATCCCTTCTTTGAGCTCCCCATTACTAAACTTCGGAAATACTAGTTTCGGGTACTTTAACGCAAAACCATTATCGCTTGAATACTTGACGATGTAATTAATCAGGCTTGGTGTGCAGGGGTGGTAGAGAGGTATGATCAGATTGATCAAGACGTGTATGCTTTACACGCATTTTCTGTGAAGCATAATCTGTCCACTCTGGCCCCATTGCGATTGTGTAGTGATATTAAGTTATTCTAATCTCCATAAGTAACAGAAACAGCAATATTTTGTGAAGCATGCTTGCATACCCAGTAGGTGTCCAATGAATTTGAAGTCAGCACAGATGATCTAACAGTACATATTGTAGTTCAGTGCAGCGAATATATGTTGCATACTTTCGTAAGTCTCCTTCATTTTAGTGGAATGCAACAGAAGCACAGTTACGTCGACATTTCCATCGTCGAGCAGTATGGGCTAAAGACAACTCTTGCACGAGTCAATGAATAAACGCCATTCATCACTGCTATGCCTCAGTCAAATTGCTTCATCAGTCCTTCCACGTCGGAACGGTAACGAAAGGTATCTCCCGTGACCTCGAAACCGGACAACCTACCCTTTCGCTTTCTGCATACATTAATCTCCGTGTTTGCAACAAGTAAGTGCCACTGCGACAGCCGAGGTGCCATGTACTCCGCCTTGTCTTCAGGCAAGCCTAAATCACCTAGCAAATCATTCAGCTCTGATTGTTTATTAAAATGTGGGTCGTCAACCTCAGCTGCAGTTTGCACAGATGTCAGAATCAGGGGAATGTGGACAATACAAAATCACTACTCATCATCAGTGACATGTTCACCGGAGACCTTGGAAGGGTTAAGGAGCAATCATGAGGAACAGTTCGGATAGCTGATGGAAGATCGGGGAGTGAATTTTATCCTTGTTTCGGTTAGGGATCACAATGACACTTGTAATGCAGGATTAACAGTCTGTCGTGTGATACGTCCGTTCCCTCTACATCATGGGGATTGCAAAGTGCATCTTGCCTTTGCACTTGAGACACTGAGTCAGATGAAAATTGCACGACACACAAATAATATACGGCGCCTACTTCTTATCCCGATTTCCATTTTTCATCCCGAAATATGCGTGGTACGCAGATTTCAGTAGTGAATTAATGGATCTGGATTGCGACTTTGTAGTAAATTGTCCACAGACGTAACAAAAATGATTTCGGTCATTGTCACAGCGACGTCTTTCAGCCACGATGAAGACCTCAAGTCTCGAAACACCACTCCCAATCGACTTTCAGTATCAGGTGAAAACCATGGCCATGTTGGTTATGGCAAGTTCGCGGGTTCCTCTCAGTCTTACAGCGAGAAACCAAGCTTTGTGCGAAGTTTTGGACGGTCGTAACGATCAGGCTAATCGCACGATAATTACCGCACACAATTCGGTCAGCTTTCTCGGGAAATGGCAGTAGTACCGAGGTACTCCAAGAGGAAGAACGAAGTTCGGTCTCCCATATCAAGCATTAGAGCTCCTGCAACTTGTCAAGGATACCTGGTAGGCAACGTTGGTAAATTTCCGCTGGAATCCCGTCAGATCCAGGAGATTCCTTCGGTTTCAGGAGACGAACGGCGTCTACCATTACTGTGAGAGATGTTGGTGAGCAATCCGCGTCAGATGCTGATTGCGTTAATGCTGAAATGGGTGCGATGATGTATATTGGTCGGTTTAGGAAGTTGTTAAGCTACTCAATGTATCTGGAAATTTATCCTTCCGTATCGAGGATGATTTGGTAACCTGCATTGGGCAATATCGGCTGTAATGAACGGTGCTTGCCGGAAGCTAAAGGGATGAGGAAAGAGTTGACCCAGCTTACCAGAAATGCTTGCAGCTTCCATGTTGCCTGCGATAACAGACCAGTAGCGGTTGCGGTCATTCCGTGCGAAGCAGGTTGACTTATGTCTCAAGCGACGGCAGTCTGAGGAATTCGTGAGATGTGCTTCTCGAGATTTAGCGGACAAGCGGATAGTAACTTCATTGATCAATTTTCCAGCGGCTTAGAAGTAGAGGCTAGGGTAGATAAAGCAACCCGTGCAACAGAAGATTATAGCCTTGACCTGCAAGCGTCGATAGATTTATCTTCTGCAAGCACGAGGAGTGGTGCGCTGACAGAATTCTCTGCATCTATTTCTGTATCAAGTGATCGGCCGCAATCTGTATTTTCCAGTGGGGCATTGTTGATACGGCTCGGTAGCAGGGACTTCTGGCGCGTTGTCGAGCGCTGTCTGAATTTGGCGCGCAGGGGTGCATGGTCAGAAGCACCTATATTGTCAGTTACAGCCCCTCTGTACACTCAAAATCATTGGCGGAGGATATCCACCGGGATCGGATTAAGATGTAGTTTTTCTGGCTAGATGTGCGACAATCATTGGAGTACCACGCCAAAAGATGATTCCTGGGGTGTTGAAACCGAGTATTGGTTATGCACAACCGGTTCAAATCAGGGAAGCTGAACAAGTGGTCTACATTAGCACGACGCTCTCTAAGGGCGTATCTCCCGCGTAGTTGACGGTCTGATCGTTCCTCGGCCCGGATGGTACATTCCAGTCATCCGCAGTAATGAGGATGTCACGTATTGGAACATGGTTCAAGACGACTTGTAAAGTACCCTAAACTTCATCTTTGCCCCTTTCCACTGAGGGTAGAGTTGGTACGTAGACAGAGATTATGGTCGGACTCCTCGAGTGACCATTGAAGCGCGCAACTGTTATTCTAGCTGCTACTACCTCCATTAAATGAGAGCGTTATGTGCATTATAAATAAGAGTCATGGCGACTCCATGATTGCCAAAATTATCCTCCTCCCACTGGGATAAAGCAAATATGAGGTGTCTACAACATGAACTGATTTCTCACGAGCCGTAGACATACATTCGCGATTCTGACAGGCACGCTATGTCGACTTCGTTTTCGTAGTGAGCACATGGCCAAGCCTGGGCTGCCGACATCCAACAGAGATCTGACATTCCAGAATCCAATGAATATTGGCTTCCGGAGATTGATGGGCCTAGCCAGCTTACTTGTCACTTTGACCACTAGGTTAGCACAGAGCGTTTCGCCTACCGGGAATGCCGTAGTATGAGAAGGTTTACAATTAACGGATATGTCATGAAGTTTCGTGTAGTTTATGGGTATGTATAAGGACCGCAACCTCATCCGTCTTTTGTTCGACGGTTCACCTCTAGCCACTGCACAGCCAAGTGCTACCTGCATGACAGTAGGGAGCTGGAAAATTGACTTAACTTCTGGCCGTTTGATCAGGGGCCGATCTCTTCCGCTCAGTTGTCAGGAATAAGGTGGACCGCGGGTACGAACCCACCAAGAACAGTGTTCCCGGCTACCCTCAACTAGAACTAGTTGAACTAGTTCTAGAACTTGTGCTACAACAGCTGCATTTGCACGAGTCGCCTGTCTATCAGAGAAATTTTGAAAATTAGGGCGAAGTCCAATTGTTAACAACTCATTATTCGGAGTCTGAAAGGTATTTGCATGGTGTCCACTTAATACATAAATTTTGCTAGGTCATCGTGGTGCCAATACATGGGCCTCGTCATACCTGTGTTTAAACTTAGCGAACATGTATGCGCTTGAATTTGAGACTACTAGTTCCTGTGGCCGCCTGAGCGCAAGGTCGAAGCACATGGTAATTTGGTTGCAAACTCTCCAGGATATTGATTCGACCAGGTTTGACAATGGGTCGCTGGCAAGTGCACAATGCAGAGAGGGTGTACACACGTATTAGCTTAGAAATTAAACGGCGTTGGATGGCTTGATGTTCTATGACAAGAAATCGGTAGATTTCGGCCAGTTACTTTGAATTAGTTGACTAAGAGCAAAGTTTTGGTGATGTTTAACCGAGATGAGTCATATTACATGCAGAAACTAAGTCAGTCTTGGCATTCCGCCTAAAAATGTATTTATGACGGTCAATATTTCTGCTCATCCATAGACTCGATTAGGATTTCAGGAGTTCCGAAAAATTACATTAAATATTATACCTAACTCCCAAACTTTCATTATTAAAATGGTTTTTATCAATGCATGAATGCTGCTTCTCATTCTTGACGTAACAGACAGTACTGTGGAATCTATTTCCTCGGAAGCGAGGCCTAATCATAATACGAGCATATACAATGCAGATTAGTATGATAAAACTCCGAACTTCTTTTATGTATATAATCTGGTTCGTTGTCACCATGTTTGTTAACACAGAGCATGTTTAAGACAACCTAATTTCGTGACCCTTACCATGTATGTTCGCCAATTGTCCCCGCATTTAATGCGAGCGTATCTATCCAATCAAACGTGGCGAACCGTCAAGCACACTCAAATCAGATTGGTTGTCTCAAACAGCTGTGAAATAAAATCTGCAGTCTCGGTGAGTCCGCTCAAAGAACGGAAGACGTAGACAATTCGCTATGGGCTTGCTTGGAAAGATATTGCTCATCGTGGCCTGTGCAATCGGAATTGCTTGCACTTTAGGTGCAATCATTACTTATCGAAATGTGATCCAAAGTGAGTGGCCTAATTATAGGTTGGCAACGTTGTAGAAATTCTACATGGACCAGAGTTGTCGTAGCACACTGTTTTCTTCCAATCTTACACAGATCCTCAGGATGATGCACAGAGGGCAACAGTGGCTTGTTCGTTCATAGCGCTGTTCATCTTTGCGGGCCTTATTTTGTTTGCGTTTATCACTATGTGCTGTCCCTGCAGTGATGTCATACAGGGAATCGTCGGTACCGTGGCTGGTGCAGTTGCACGTGAGTTCTTTTCACTTGTTCCATGTTACGCAGTGATGTCGCTTATATAGTATTGTGGTGGTGTATAAATCGAAATAGAGACTTTGGATGCGCCAGATTATTTGTAGGGTCGCTATATGTGTGCGTATCATGTATTCAATGCATACAACCAGATTGTGCCACCACCGTTGTATTACCTCCTGATGAATAATGGTCCAGTGTCAGTTACCTATTGATCCAGAGCACAAAAAAGACTTTGTTATCCTATTATCTCTTTAATGGCCGGATGATGTCAGTTCTCATGCTTCATCATTAAACTTCCAGTAGAGAACAACGAAACCGTTGTAGTTGTCTTGAGTGCCATTGATCCGACAAGTCACTTCCAGTGCAGCACATTGCGTTTGAGAAGGTGTGGTGCCTTCGGTTACTTTAGCTTCTTGTAGACACGCAAACGCCTTCATCTTGTATATACATAGAACACATTTATAGCTACAATTGTACTGGGGTCATAGTGATTAAGGTAGTTCATCTTTCCTTTGTTTTTCAGTATTCTTCAGTATAGCTGCCTATTGTGCATATCACAAATTGGACATCGACCGGGCAGTAACATTGCCTATTACTCCTGAATGGTTATTCGGATCGCTGGTATCCGGCTCTTCGCTCATACTGGTTGCCCTCACATTGGCTCTTGGGTGATTCCTGCCTTAGCAGAACTGTGACATATTTTGCCAGAGTCCCTAGTGTATGACTCTTGTGTGTGGACATATGTATGTAATGAATTGTGTTAACGTATAACTATATTATGTACGCAAAATATAAACCTATGTCGGAACTTTCTTTACGAACACATCGTGCATATATCCCCATTGAAATATGCGTTTCTTTATGAGACATGAGATTTTACCAAAATAAGAGCCCATTAGCTCTTTTTCTACTACCGCACTAAAAAGGTGTAGGGAATCGACGGATTGGACAAGGGTTCACCCCTCTGCTTTCTACAACCCAATTAAGCCATTGAACCATTAACCCGACTGGGTTTAGTAACAAATTTTAATCTTGGGTCCTTCCTAATATCTGGGAGTGTTCACGGATTTGGGTAAACAGAAATAAACAGAACCGCATAGACCGGTTCCTGAATTCACTCGACAGCATAACTTTGGTACACTGATGAAAGCGCTTGAACTTCGTTTAAGTTGGCGGGCATGTACTAGTAGTGGCAGTAGTAGGAGAAGAAGTGGTAGTAGCAGTATTAATAGCATTAGTAGTGGTAATTATGGCGGTAGAAGTAGTAATAGTGCTATTATTATTCGTAGTGGAAGTATCATTATTAGTAGTACTAGAAGTACTAGTAGTTATAGTAGAGGCAGTAGCAATAGTAGTAGTAATATTAGTGGCACCAGTGGAAGTAGTAGTAGTAATAGTAGTAGTAGTAGTAGTGGTAGCAAAAGTAGTAATATTAGTAATAATGCCAGTGGTAATAGTGACAGTATTAGTAATAATATTAGAAGGAGCAGTAAGTGTGGTAGCAGTGGTAGTAGGAATAGCAGTGACAGTATAAACGTAGTGGCAATAGTAGTAGTAGTAGAGGTGGTAGCAATAGTATTAGTAGTAGTATTAATAATAGTAATAAAAGTAGTAATAATCTTAGTAGCACTAGCAATAGTAGCAATGCTAATTGTAGCAGTGTTAGTACTATTAGTATTAGTAGTAACATCAGTAATAGTATTGGTTGTAATATTAATATTAGTTGCAGTACTAATAGTGTTAATAATAATTATATTAAGAATAGAAGTATTAAGAGTGGTGGCAGATGTGGTAGTAGTATCGGCAGTAATAGTAGTAGCAGCAGTGGTAGTAATAGCATTAATGTGGTATAGTTGTTTAGTAGTAGTAGTAGTAGTGGTAGGAGCACTTGTATTTGCAGCAGTTGCAGTGGTAGCAGTTATAGACGAAATAGTATTTTAGCCGTAATATTGGTACTAGGAGCACTAACATTATTAGTATTAATGGCATAATTACTAGTATTATTATTAGTATGTGAACGAGAATTGTTATAATTAATTTTAGTAGTAGTACTTCAGCTGCAGTTATAGTAGCACTAATAAAGGTAGTAGTAGTAGCAGCACAAACACTAGCAATGGCATTAGTATTAGTAATCATAGTAATAGTAATATTGATGTTTGTGTATATGTGGAAGAAGTATGGTAGTAGTATTAGTAGCAGCATTATTAGTAATAGTAGTAGTGGTACTAGTAGCAACAGTCTGATTAGTAGAGAAAGAACCATACAACCACTGCGGAAATCATAGGTTTAATCACATCATCATCAACATGGCACACTAGCCGAATTTCGGCAACACATTTCAGCTATTTTGCCGCAAATAAAACGGAACTGTTTTACCATGTCTTCACACGCCATTTTTTAATAGTTTTGTCTTTTTTAATGGGTAAATATTACACGGGGGAATCTGAATAAGTATGTACACAGCTCTTCCACTACTCTCAATTGTGCGCCATATCCTGTATGACTTCCAGCTATCAGCGCTCCTCGACGTACACAGAGTCAGCGCATGTCAGCTATACGAACTGGACATGACACACCTCTATATGGCAACAACGTCTGAACGGCGGTATCGTAAAATGGACCCATAAACAAGAAGTAGATATCCCGACGACGCCACGAATGTTGCAGAATGACGAAATGCAACCAAGTTCTGGAGATGCAGAGAGAATCTTCCTCTCAATACTGCCACCGGAAGACATGCAATTGCCCAACTTGACAAAGCTATTCATCTGTGTAAATTTGTGATTCAAGATGCAGCACGGGAACGGCTGTGGGCCAATCCGGGTGGAGCAGCTTACACTTTGATGGGATGAGGTACATTCAGTACCTAGGCGTCTCAACCACCAAACGGTTCAAAACGGTTTGCATACTCTGTTACGTGCAATGCTCGTAGTAGCAACTGAAGTAGATCCGGTGGGCTGAAATGAATGAATGCCCGATACGAATGATCATGAAAAAAGAAGAGTCATAACCAAAGTTAGTGAGAACGAGAGAGTTGCACTTCACACGCACACACACATGTTTTGGCAACAAATTCAGTTCCGCTGCACAAACATTTAAAGAAGGTAGCTTTGGCAATAGTAAAAGAAGAATACCTGGTTAAAAAGGCTACCAGGGATATTTATTGGATCCAATCCCACACAACGTCCTCACGAGTGACGGTATGATGACAGGATTTCGATGCAACTCTGCGAATCGCCTCCAAGTAAGACGAAGCTATCGGCATGGTGTAATTCGAGCAACCAATTATCTGGTAGTAGCTGCTTATCGAACGTTATTAGACCTACAGAGCTCTCGAGATGACGTTTTCAGTCGCATAATAATGAGTAAAGATGACATAATGCTGTACTTTCGTACATCCCCATTGACAACGAAAGTGGAAGAATGCTTGTCATAAGCCTTAAGCCTGCCGGAGACGTGCAATTAGAGTGCGCGTAAGGTACCAGAACATTGTTCTGGGATTCTCTTTGTCGAGTTGCGCTCCAAGAATCAAAAAGACAATCTTGGTGATGAAGAAAAGTCATTAGTAGGATATTCGTGGATTTTTATAGTATCTATAGTATTTTGCTGTGGTGCGTTCACTGAATGATCTTTGCTAACTGCCCTGTGACGTTAGCTAAACTGCTTCGGTTCGTGCTCGTTCTCCAGACTAGCCGATCCATGCTAACTGAGTTCATGGTTACGTTGGGTCTTATTGCTGCTCTCACAAATAGACTGCACGGTGCTGTCTCGTTACCTGTCCGAGCAGTTAGTTGCTGATTCCAAAATCGGCGCGGCGCCACAGCTGGGCTTATTGTCTACATGAGCCCAGCGCATGCCATCTGCTCACTGTATCACCGATCAATTCGCTCTTCTGCTATCTGCGGTTATGCAGTCTCTTCATTCAACTGAGTTGGATGCTTTCCGTGTGAGTGGTTCTCATGATTAGTGACTAATTAGTCACTCGTCAAGTCGGCAGTGCTTCACCACTTGGCTATCAGCCACAGTTGAGCGTGTTGTTACCCCACGTAGCGTAAGCTATCCGCTCGACGTAGGCCAACCCAACCCGTTTCTCCATTGCCCTAAGCCGAAGCAGTTGTGCGTAGTCGGCTTTCGGCGGATTGGCACCAAACCCATCGGTACCGCATCGATATCATCCGCTTCCCCGTCTCAGCGAATCTCACACCGTTGCTTATCAGGCATCCTCATGGCCCAGGTAGATCAACCGTGTCGGATACAGCACGTATGTCTGGGAAGGCGCCGATGGCATTTATAAATAAATAAATAAATAAACGTTTTATTCCTCAGCAGTGCGAGGCAAAGACCAATTGGGTGGTCTTATCAACAAGAGATGGCGACGTTGGAAGATTTAGCGGAGCGTGCAGATTTATCCACATACCCAATGACAGGACGGAAGCCAGTTTTTGCTTCCTGATACTATAATTTACGAATCGGGGATAGTCTGTGAATTAGAATGTATGTCAATTGCTTGAAGGCAAACGAATTGAGACTAATCCCCCAGGTGGTTGCTGCATGAAGTACGAGTATCCTTTTTTAAAATCAGGACAACAATTCATTCGACCTGGGATGAAGGCACTTTTAATTCATGTCAACTTTTGTATATCAATAAGGTTAGTTGGCAGATTATAGCCGTGCTTCTATACATGAACACCTCCGGAAGAAGTCCTTCTGAGCCGGCAGCTTTAAATTGTTTCAATCAACGAATCGCAG